TGTACAATGATGATTACGATGAGTATATTTCTTGGTGGTTGATCTATTGAGACAAATGGATGATTACATCGTAGGATATTTCGATGTCTGTGGCGCAATTACTTTATTATGCTTAGAACAGGAATGTAACTGACTGTACACTGAAACCAGTACTGAACAACTGTCGTGTTATTGCCCGATGGTTTGTTACCACAATCAATTTCTATCCAAAATGCAAAGCCTATTTGTCACCGATGTAGTGAAAAAGGAAGTTGAAAAAGAAGCACACTTTATGCCTTAACCAAATTCATAAACAACACCGTTTGATGGTTGAACCGTGACGGTGAGGTGGTGTGGGAGGAAGGTGTACTGTGGAACATCAACAGCCGACCGATGAAAATCGTCACCTTTGTACGGTACTCAACTTTGACGGCTGTGTAAATGTAAATAGATCTGTTATTTTTGCTTTATTAGCTACGCGGTTTTTCGGTTTTGTCTTCCTGAAATTTTCAAAGAAAACCGATCATTTATTAGCCATTTTTATTTCCAGTAGCTATGCTTTATTCAGGGGTGTCTTTATGGGGGGGGGATGAATATTGATTTTTTTCTCGGTACTCCCACTGATTCCGCCATATTCATGCGACTTATATATCCTTTCATATACCTCGTCTATCTTGACTAATTATTAGGCAATGAGAGGCAATAAACTCAGTATACACTGATTGGTTGGCAGAGCTTCCACGAGCTACAATCGTTCAGTAGCGAGGCGCGGGTTGTTATCGCCCGAGAATCGGAAACGCAACTCCAATTCCCTTGAGTTGTCATGGTGATTCCGACAGGGGCGAAAGCAAAGCAAGTTCAGTGGACGAAAGAATCAGAAGAACAAGAGGAAGAAACTGTCCAAAATAAGTTCTTTGATGTCAATATGGAAAATGCTTGTTACCATGGCGACACAATAAAAGAAGTATCATTATATGAGCTGACCATGGATAGGCAAAAGAAACAAAAATATCATGTTCGTGCGATGAATCATCAAGCATAGAATAAAAAATGATTGATTTTCACTCGACAAATGAAGCGAATGCAGTTGACCTATTTGGTGCAATCCAAGAAGCAGACCGAGCATTACTCACAACTTTTGCGTATGAACTTTTTCCGCATAACCGAACCAAGCGCCCACAATCACGGCCGGGATGATGTAACCAATCCACACGAGTGGGACACAGTGTCGATGTCTCGAAACGAGGTCATGATAACGTGACTGGGGTGCGACGCTGAAATGGTCAAAAAGAACACACGGTGGGTACGTCAACACATATGTAATACGAGTTTATGGAGAGAGAGAGAGAGAGAGAGAGAGAGAAAGGGAATTATACAACGTAGCAAACTATGGCAAGATGTTTTGTCAAAATTGAAAGTTCATTCGTACAACACGATGTAGATTGTATTCAAAAAGACGTGTAGCACATTCCTAATCCGATGGGAGAGCCTATCCATCTGTGATCGTACGATAACTCAGCACGTTTTACAACCAGTCAAAACAAGTGTAGACATGATGGTCGAATTCGCATCCCGACTGAGGGTATTTACATCTCCTGTCTGCACACAAACACACACACACACACACAAACTATAAGAAAAAACCATGATCAGAACAGAACCGATAAACTGTACGAAGCTCAGAGACTGACTAAAAATCGACTGTAAGGAATGCGGTTTGGTGAGAATGATTGGCAGATTGGTGAAATGTATGACAATGGACAGGCAGCGATCAGGAAGAAAGATCCTCAGGAGAGAGTTGATCATTTAAAAATAAACAGTAAAACAATCAATTGATAATAATCTAAAGGTTACAAAGAGTTGGTTAGAAAGAAACAAAACGAATGTTTCCATGTTAGATTCAATCTCGAAATTGGATAGTTGTATACCAGCTAGGCTGGGGATGCAATACTCAGACATGCAACGTATTCCAGGTTGGAAAAGTAAGGGAACGAATAGACGCATGTAAGACACCCAAGAAAGTTAAGAATGCCGGACATCGATCATCCCCATTGCATTGTTTATGCAGTGAAGTAAATTTCCCTGATCGTTGAGTAGCTCACTATATGTGCATGTACATGTAACCTTGAACGTGTAAGTTAGATACAGGAAATGGACTTGCTTTGGAAGAAGAGAGTACACACTAAATCTCTACGGTTAGACGCTACACACAGCTTGTCAAGCCTTTCGGCTTGATAAGAAACAAACAACCAATAGGCCACTGTTGTCGACCTTTTCCAATCAAGTACTGATGAACTGATGGAACTCAGACTGAAAGGAATGAGACACCTAAAGCATGCCCAACATATATCCTAGAGGACGAAATCTATTCATCTGAATTTATTGAGAAACCGAGATATGCCCGTTACCTTGTTTGCTGCGCTACTAGCATGTATCATGAAACTAGGCGGGAAAATGTACAGTGGTCTACAACTATCAATCCAGTTTCAAATTGGGATTATTGGACACTCAGATGGAGAGGAATTGCAGGATACACCCCCATCTTGTAAAACAAAATACGCAATAAAAAAACAAACACTGCCGGTGAACAAGTAATTTCCGTATCCGGAAACAAGTAAGTGTTTGAAAACGGTCTAATCTCCTTTCTCAAGATCGGTTACGAGACGAGAGGACATGTGACAAAGACGATGGCATGCCTAACCAAAACCGGTGGCTGGACGGTATTCCGCTTATGTCTCATCTGCTTATTGTGGTGATCACAAAATGTGAAAGTGTCTTTTAGAACATAAAGTTCCTTACCAATACAGACTTGCCGTAAAACACTGTCCAGTGTTCGAGGGTCTGTGTGTGTGGCAAATATTGACCATCTATTGATGACTTTGTTACCGGTACAGTTTACACGGATTTACGTCTCCCTATCATGCGGTTAGCTTACCCAGTTTTGTCAACAAACCCCTGCATTTTGTCGTGCCCTTAAAAGTAATCCTGTAGAAAAATCCGAAGATTGCGTTAAAGGCGATGTGCAAGATCGGTGTAACCACCAACCAAAAGCGTCGTGGGAATAGAAAATGCAACAACAACGACAACACCATCCGTGCCCGGGCCCGTATGCAGAGTATGTAGTCCGTGGTTGCCTTCTTAAACTACCAACTATTTTTAGGCCATGATCATGGAATTTTATGAAAACGGCCAAATTTTCGTTTTGCCTTTTGTGAGAATTCAACTACAATTGAATCGAATTAGCTCTGACGGACTAAGACACGAATAAAGATGCAAGGACTAAGCTTATTGCTGAAGAAATAAACTGATTGATAGATCTACCGCAACCGGTATCAAGGAGAAACAACCTATATCAATCACCTCCATGCGCATACTGTGGTTAGTGGCAAATCCTAAGGTTGATCATCTTAGCTTACTACTGTCTGTTATGATATCAATGTACTGAATAGAATTTCTGCGGCGAGAACCGATGTCGTGCAAACGATACCGACCAGATGAACCACAGCCCTCATTCGTCAACCATGTGTAACGGTCGAGGTAGCTGAAAGTTATCAATAGTACTGTAACTTTCGATCCAGATGGGTCATAAAACAAGCGCAAACCATCTGGCACGAAAGTTTTTAAATATTTGTGATAACCGACAAAGAGCACTAGACAGCAGTTTCATCCTGATTCGGACTCGTCAGACGTGAGTACTTTCCCGTGTCCCTGTCGGGACTCGAACCGCGAACTTTCGGGTTGGGACTTCAAACCCTTACCCCGGAGCTACACCGTTGGTTGTCATTCCCTTGTGCGAACGGTTCAATCAGTTTAGACAGTGAATGTTTGATTGACTTGGTCGGTTTTTCACAGGCATTGTTGATAATCTTGCGTGTAGGTTTCACTCTTTGGGAAATCGTTAATTACCCACGAGGTAAATGCATTCAAATGCGATGAAAATCTTCATGATGACCAACGAAGAGCACTGGTACCTGTGAAAAAACACTGAATGGGCTAATCCAAACATTCACACTATAAATTTGGAACCATGTTGATTCATTGTATTTCAAAAGACAATCTGACACCCAGTATGCCACGCGAATCACACCGATGTTGTGCTGTCTCGTTCAACTCCGTACCACGGACCAATCTGGGTGCATCCGCATGGACGATGCTTCCTCTCCGATTAATTTTAGTGTCTCACCCATGTCGAAAATTTTTGTCCGATTGATTCAATCTATTTTGTCCATGATTGATTATCCATGCTTGTTTATTTTTTTTTTTTTTTNGCTACAAAAACAATTTGAATTCCATCGATAAAACATTGAATTGTCGTTCCTATAGCAGCATAATCTCCTGCCCATATCACTTCATATGTGTTAAATTTTCTACCATGTCTTGAAACTAAACGGTATGATGCGCCACTATCTCGCTTCCCTTTTTTGGTTCATTTTATAATCCCAAATTTCGAATTACTTCATCGATTTTCACTTGTCACTAAACAGATGACCAATCATACACTCTTCAGTTGGTCATTGAAATCTGTTACCAAATCATATTCCGAAGTATAATTGTCATTCAAATCATGCAGATGTGCTTGACTTTTCCGTCCATTGAGACATTTGATGATGTAGGAACATTTTGTGAGGTGCACAAGAAGGTGACTAGCCACGACCCAGGACATCCACCCTGGACCATACTGAGACTTTCGATTCGTGCACATTCCTACCTAGTAGGGATATTTTTAAACCGCAAAATTTGACGGTCGGCAAGTGAAGTGAATGTCTTTGTGCAACGATTTTCTCACAGTTGTAGTTCTACTCCAAAAATAATCAGTGAAAAAAAAATTACTGATGACGTCACTCGCCATGCCAGGTAGATATTCAAGTGATGGTGCACAATGTATCCGCTGGATCATTTCGCTGTATTTGTACCCGGGCACATACTGCAGTCTATGTGATCATTAATATATGATCAGCAAATAACAGAATTATCGGTGGAGAAAGATTGCGGTCAAAATGGCTCATAGTGAAACGCAAGACGGCATCATCTTAGTGGATGTGAAAGTTTCATGTCGAACGAATGGATCAATCACAAGATTTGTTTACTGAAAGGGTACATGTTCCGGATAATATCTCCATTTTACTAGCCTTATCCCAATGGAATATAAGATTGGTCTAGTTCGAACGCTCTTCGACAGTGCACGACTAATTTGCACATTGGATACATTGGATAATGAATATGGCAAGATCAAAAATGGTTTACAATCTAATGGATATCCGAAATGGTTCATCTTAAAGCACTCTCAACCCAACAGTACACGGGAAAAGACACCAAGAGCAGGTAAGATGAGAGTAGTCTTGCAACTGCCCCTTCAAGGGTGACGATATCAGCTGTCTGATTACCAACTGGATAAAATCGGCTGTTAAGTGCACTTACTACGCAGCTGAGCTCATCGTTGTTTTTACAACCGGGCGGTTGCCAATACCATCGGTGATAGAACCGCTGTCTCCCTACGCCAGATCTAATTATATTCATCAGTTCATGTGTGGATACTCGGCCATCTAAATCGGCAGAACGGACAGACAATTGCGTTACCGAATAACTGAGCCTATCTCGGTCTAGCTTCAGAAAACAATGAGTGGGAACTTCGGAACTATGAGGTCACCAATGACCCATATATATATATATATTAATGATCACATAGACGGCAGTATGTGCCTATGTACACTGGAGGCAGTGAAATGATCCAGGGGATACACTGTGCAAATCCGTGTTTTTCGGTTGGCTTCTTTTGATTCAGATTTGTTACGGGGGAACTATGCTTCCAATTTACTGTATCATCACGCTGCAAAATAGCATGTACAGATCGTTGTGATGTTTTACCGAGGTGACTGACTCCCCTGTCACCGGGCTCCATAAAGATCAATTTGCAATTAGACAGACTTAAAGTGAATGGGACCCTGGAGGCAAACAGTATACTCAGGTTGAATCAGACCGGGGTTGGAGGCAAGCAGACTGAGTAGAGTCCGAGGAGAAACAATGTTTGCTTGCCACGTCCAGTGATGGCGGGGCGCGGGATGGGGGGGGGGGGGACGACAGATGGACAGACAGACAGACAGAGCAGCATCATGTTACTTACATCAGTATAAGTGTGTTCAATCCGAAAATAAATTTCCACGAGAATGCGGCCAACGGGAAAAAGCATACGGCAATGGCGAGAATGACACAACCGACCGGTTGTTTGTTAGTCACAAACGGGATGATCAGAGACACGATCGCACTGATCATCAGACAGAACGCAATGTTGAACTGATCCAGTCGGAACACACCGCTGGACATGGACACAGTGTATGGGAACGGTGGTGGGACAACGAGAAGCGGGGATGGGAAAAATTAATATGGAAAAAATTCATTGTGACATTGAAAATCAAATCCGATAGACGAAATAAGTTGGACTTATCTAGATAAATTCATCAATTGGCCGTTTGCATGTGATATTATTTGATCCTGTGTGCGAGGTGAATCTTATTCTCCTATATAGAAAGCGATGCGTCAACAATTTAATTGAGCTTCGCCCTGGGTTACGACATTCTTCCATTCACCACGCTCGCATCGATTGGCCGCTTGGAGACTGGCCATGGTAGACATAATTTCTGGACGAAACTCTTCTGATTGCATAGTGGGGTCAGGAACAGTTTGATCCCAATAGCTTCAGTCATACTCAGAAGGATAAAGCGTACGGATTTAGATGACAACGATGGAATAAGATAAACGATCCTGAACGCTCAGTTTACGTCCACTTGGTGACTACTTTCGAGTAGGTGTTGACATATCGCACTTCTCGCGGCCCTCGTTTCTCCTGTATGCTAACCATCAAGGGTGGTGTTCCTTTATTCTCTTTGGCAATTATCTTGTTTCATGTGAGTAATGGAGAATTTAGTTACATTTCAAATGGGAGTTCGTCGTGTAATGGCAAATGAAGCGTGAACTGAAAAGCTCGGAAGCACTGGACAGCTGTTTCGACCTGGTCAGGTTGTGAATGTTTACAAACCGAGTCATAACCCCGGAGGCTAGTGCTGAGTTGAGCAGGGTCCGTGGCCCGCAACAAACTTTCAAAAATGGGTTGTGCTATATCGTGTAAATGGAAAATGAAAAACGGTCTGATCAGCTGCTCGGTGGCGTAGTGGGTACCACGCTTGTGTTCTGCCCATGAAGTCCCGAGTTCGATCCCCAGTCGGGTCGATGGATTCGCACTACTGATGAGACCCGACCAGGTCGAAACAGCTGTCCAGTGCTTTCGAGCTTTTCAGTTCACGCTTCATTTGCTATATACACGACGAATTTTCATTTGAAATTATCTTGTTGTCCGGAAAAAAGTAATGCGCAACGAATGGTACTCATCCATTAATGTGATTGAATATTAAAAGTCAATTCAACCACACATCACACGCATTGTCTCATCGGAGAAGAAATCAAGGAGGGCAGTAATTAGCTTCAACACGCCACACGCCTGTTTGTAGGACATCTAGGTCATTTGGGACTTCAAATTTTGTCACACAATCCCCCCGACCTGCACCAAACCCCATGACTGTCAGGACACGTTTAGACAGTGACATATTTTTGTCTAACTCACAGTATTCCCCTCAGTTTGGGTCATTTCTAATTTCCGACCATCCGAGAGAGTAAATTCTCAGGCCCCAACAACATCACCGCTATGGTGGGGATGGTTTGTGCAGACAACCAGCACTCGCGACAGACAGACAGACATGTGCATCCCGTGGCGAATGCGAGACTGCACTGACCGGAAATCATTGGGGCATGACAAAAGTACCGCGTCTGTCCCCGATTGCACGATGAGTCATTCATTTGCGAAAGGTGTCTAGACGTGAGGACCTGCGTCACTTTCCAGTGTGAGGTTTATCTTCAAACAGGACGGCAATGTTCAATTTCAATAGTTGACAGTTTTTGAACAAGTGCTATTCTCGGACTGATTTTGATCATTAGTGGTCTGATGAAGCGACACGTCACAAAAGGTAAGTTGTTTCAACTGACTGCTCTCGGCCCAAGTGCAGGATATTGGTTCGTTCCTGATACCACGCAAGCACGTGAATTCAAAACTTCATTTATATTTGAAGACAAATTCAATTATGTTGTAACTGAACTCTCCGGGTTTTGTGACGACTCGTAAGTTTGATAATTGGAGTTGATGATCAGTCGGCGTATTGGAGCTCGAGTTCGAGTTGATTATCGCCAGTCAGGCTGATTAGGCGTNCTACCGGCCTTTTTTGTGTTCGTAACCCGTTGGTTCATCAATAAATCCATGGACATGCACTCAGTAGAGCGTTTCGTTGAGTCTTGTCGCCCGATCCTAGGCCTGAGGTGGCTCATGTGTCTAGTCCACACAACATAGCCTACTCTGACTTTATACGTGACGGATCAATCTCGTGTTATACTCTCTCCGGAAATCCAGCTCATTAATCCTTTTCGAAAATTACGCTCAAAAACTTGATCTCTTGCTCTAAAACTTCTCAAATAAGACATTAGTACTTTTAGCGGTGTGTGATTATGCAATGTCTCTCTCGCTCGAAATCCTTGCGTGTAGAATTAGTCGCATTCGTCAAGCAAGAAGCAGTTCGGCCGTGGAATTTTGTTCTGGAATAGCTGAGTTAGGATTCGAGCGATAGGTGAGGAGAACTGTTTGACTAAACTATAGTTTAGACTACTCCAGGAAAAAACGCATAAACCCAAATGGGCGCCGTTCAGTGATGCTAGAAATCGTGTTTTGTCCCACACCACAAACATTGAGAAAGTTCGGACAAGTGTAAATACAGGACTGCGCGCATCAATTTACGAATAGGATGCCCCGAACTGGTGGCTTCGCGATTAGACGTATGCTTAGCTCAGCTGTTCTGACGAAGCGATTTGGTCCACTCGTGCACACACACGTACACACACACACACACACCTCATCCTATCTGTCAGTCACCAAAATCTATACAAATGTGCCATCACTAGCCCTATATGTGACTCACTGCGAGCTTGTTTACCGTAAACCGGTTACCACTCAGGCTGTTAGAAACGCTAATACCGAGAGTTGTAAAATTCGAGTTTCGATGGATGGACCGAGAACAAACAGTCCCTAGCTAGTGATTTTTATCCTACCCAGCGCGCTCACACACTCCCTAACGAGTGGGGATGGAACGCTTCGAACAAACAGAGAAACGACAATGAATCGTCTGCTGAACGACAAACATCATTTGGGGTTAATTTAAAACCCAATCCTGGTGACTTCATTTTATTCAAGAGTTCCATTCAAGTGTATGACCATATTTGCGAATTATCACAACGATGAAATAAATAAAATGCAAACCATATTGGAACTGTGACTACTATTTTTAAAACATGCACACATCGCCAACCCGTTTGCTAATCTCTAGTCAGATGAATTGTGAAATACAAATCAGTGAAATGTGGTATCCAAGATTGTGCATTAAAACGTCCACAGGGTACGATAACGGTTGACATGATATCAGACATTTGCGTGTGATTATTTCAACTATCACATTCAACGATAAATATCATCCCTTCACGGTGCGGTTGAGTATCGATTGGTCAGTGATCGATACGGTTGACATATCAAGGTAACTGTCTTGGTGCCCTTGATCGTTCCAGCGAAATAATGATGGGGTGTATTGACAGAACTAATACGCAGAGCCTTTCAAAGACCCCCGTACCGTGCTTTAATCCAGGGCAATGGTTGAAATAGTCCATTTTGAATTTACTGTACGTTCCATAATACGGATGGATGTAAACATCAGCTAGTCGCATACTACAGATGACTTGGTTCCAACAGCCGATTGCACTTTAGAAGGAAATGGAGGTTTTCAGGACCATCGGGATGATCACTAGTTCAATTGCGAGGCACACTAAGGCAGGCGATATGTGGTGCTGGACTAGTGGTTTTAGTCACTGTCACCGGTGTGCTTTGGACGCTATGGTCCGAGATTCGAGCCCCAACATCGCCATCCAACTTTGGTGGTAGACAGTTTTGTTTTCGTCCGGTTCAGTACCACGCCTGACCTAGCGGGATCCTATGGGGGTTGGAGACTCCAAGTCCCCGGGTTTAGGTTGCCTATTTCCATCACTGAACAGCAAGTCATCGTGACAACGGGGTCCATCCTCCGTCTGCTGTTCATCATTCTAGGTGTCATAAACGATAGCCAACTTTCACCAACTGAAAGCCTTCGAGCAGGACGGAGTTGTGAAGAGAGAAACTGTGCCAGTCCAGGGAGAGAAATAACAACACATTCAATTCAACCACGTGATAGACCATTGTGTATAAGAACCGATGAATTCGCACATTCCAATACCACAACATAGAGATAATTCGTTATTTCTCTAACATGGGAAAACAGAATTGTGACCAAATCTTTTGATCACGTGCCATAGTAGGTACTTGCTGACAATAACTGATTAATTTAGTTAAGAGAATAGTTGTCATTGGTTGATTTGGGGTTGGAGTAAGAAACTGCTTGAATAACCAGGACAATCATTTGAATAATTTAGACGAATTGACTGTTAGTTGCTACATATCTACGGTCATCACAGCATCGCTCTCAGTCAGAGATAGATCATTTACTAGGAATAGTTGGGCATAGAGTCACTGAATAAAGGGTTGTAGAAATAATAGAAATGAAAATATGGAGAAATAGATTACAGGAAACAATGGTTTCCTCATTCGGTTGCACATATTGAAACGGCTTCAACAAGTAGATCATACTACACTCACGTCACTGACATTTATCTTAAGTCCTATCTACCGACGTCTATGATCAAGAGCAACCTTGTCCCCTGGACTCCAACGTGGAAGGACGGCTGCACCAAACGAAGCCACCCTAAAGCCAGATCGAAGCCTGATCATCGTGACGCTTCTACCAGCCTTGTCCGACACGTGCAAAGAGAGCATGGAAAGGAATACGATGGTCTAGAATACGCGAAATGTGATCTAGGCATAGGAGATAGTGTAAAGAGATTACTTCTTCTAGAGAACGACCATCAATACACAGCAAAAGACAACGAAACTTGGCAATACTCATCCGATGTTCCCATCACACACCAGCAAAGCTTCAAAGACGTCAGTTATCAAATCTAGAAAGTCCATCAGCATCTTCAGCGCGAAGCGACCAGGTCTTGTAACCGAATATCACATCCAGAGCAAATATCACCATAGTGAAAGGGTTAGTCAGGTTTCTTCAAGAAGCGATCTAGTCTCACGTGGAGCATATTGCGTAAAATTACGGTACTGTTCTGGAGGAAATGTGCTCAGGGAGGAATTGCAAGCAATCCAGCTTCCTGTCTCATGCCGATAATCATACTACAGGGGAAGAAATATGAAACAAAACGCAAAATAAAAACGAATTTGCGAGGAATAAATGAGAGAAAATAGTACAGAAATGCACACACACACACACACTCATATACTTACACAAATCGCGTGAATATAAGAAACAGCAATAGTGCCACAATGGTGATCGAGGTGAAAATATAGTTCACCAATGTAATCACGTATTCGTGTTCCGGGGGGATCTGAAATGGGGTTCGAATGAAAAATGAGATTAGTCCGAAAACGTCTCATTAGTTTCTCCGAGACCGGTGTAACGACTAGGCGTACATGAAAACAAAATCGAACCGAGAGAGAGAAAAAAAACAATGGACATAAGGCGGCTTCCGGTAATGGATTCGAATCCGCTCGAGGCAACTGAGTATTTCATATTTCAAATAAGAGGAAAATCAATGAAACACCTGCAACGATAGATAATCGGTAAGTTATATCCCGAGATAAACTTGAACAGATCGAGCACAACAAAAACGGTTGCAGTTGCATGCAGGAGCACATCACATGTTGGGTTAGACCCTGACTGATCGAAGCACGTGATCAAAGTTCATTTGATACCCACAGAAGAAGAACGTCTTCCTCGGTACGCCAACTCTAATCTGATTTACCAATTTCAATATGGGTGCGGAGTGACCTATGTTGGCAGAACAGAGCGACATTTACGCAACCGGGTGGTTGAACATATTCCAAATTGGGTTCAAAGTTGGATGACGCAATCTGGGTTAGTTCCGCGGCATAGAAACAACGGTCGAAACTACAAGACTTCGTTATCAGCCATAGTTCGACATCTTCTGATGACGCAACACCAGATCGACCGAAACATGGTGTTTCGGATTATCTACAAGTCACAAACCGCAAGATTGCTACGGTTTGCACAAGCGATTGCTATCAGTCGATGGAATCCCCCCTTATGTCAACAAAAAGAACTTTATGTTAGTTTATCCTTACCCTAATGATAGTCTTTTTAACCCCTCCCCGCTTTTTGTTTGTCTGTTTCATTGTGCTTTACTCTTCTTTGTTGCCATGCTAAATTCTTATATAGCTGATGTTTTTTTCTGCAGTATGCACCATGTTGAGATGGAGCGAAATCGTCCTTCACAATCGTGCAGTATTGCAATTTGGTCTATTCTTTTCTTTTCAAATTGGATCCGTCAAACCCACATCATCATCATCAATAACATACACAATAACGTTACACCATTAACAACCTCTCCAATAACCAAGGTCAACGAACCCACAAACAGCCTGTGCCATCTATCGCCCACATCCGTGGATGATGAATCAATGCCCGGAATCGAACAGGCTGATTTAAAATTATTTATACTCACACACCCCCCACCTCCCAACTGCTCATATTCGCGGAGTCGATTCCAATCGGAAAATGGAAACCTGGCCTGTGTGTCTGTGTGCAAAAAGAACTGTCATCCACATTGACATATGAAAATGTGATACTTCAGCCCTGTGGTAATCGTGTTTGTAACCTAATGTACTGTTTAACGATATAAACTGTAGATTTCTGCCGTGTTGTGGGCAGCGAAATTAGTCTTGGCATAAATCGTGCAACCTAGCTTTGTTGTGCTCTCTCTCTCTCTGTCTCTTTAAATCGTTAACTTGTTAAAATGGCTAGTTGTGTGTCATTCTTGTCATCAAATCAATATCATGTTCACCAACAATGTTATAATTCCAGAAGACCGATACTCGCTCGAGGGGACTTGTTTATTACGAACCACTGTTAGGGTACGGGCAACTTCCTTTTGAACATGTCATCACAATTCTCTGTAGCATACAAGATAATGAACGGATTAGTCTGTATTTATCATTTTCAATACAGCAATTCGCTCTAAGAAGTCTTGTTGGTGTCTGAAAGTTGAAAGAAACCGCTAATCGCATTCTTTGGCGTACTACTGACAAACGTGAGTACTACCTCACAACAAAATGAGTGATATTTTGATGGGAGAAAAGGGCAAATGTGAATCGTTTACGCGTTATACGCGATCGAGTACTGGTTCAGAATGTGACTGGTTGCAGTCGAAATCCGCAGTACATGTATATTCAGACAGATTGACTTATCCAGCAACGTTTCGAGGCTAGACGTTAAAGGATTAGGCATAAAAGCACAGAAACAAATGGAATTCAAAAGAGCAGCACATGCACCGAGGCAAAACAAAACAGAACCAGACAGAAACCGGTCACCACTCACTTCCGCATTTCCAATCCAATAGACCAAAGCGATTGCAAACGTGCCTCGTTCCCGTGGTCTGCATCGACATTCGTAGTGCAATCCAACCACAATGGTCTCACACAGTTCATCACTCCACTGACTGTATTTTTTGTCGCTGAAAACAAAATTTTAAAAAAATCAAGCGGAATCAATCGAAAAACCAAATCAATGGGGGATAAATCCACAAAGTGGAAAGCTGCTTTGTTTACACGGCAACGACTGAGACGATAAAACATCATAATCCAAAGCGAAAATGGCACCACTGAAATGTATCGCAATCACACCAAAACAAATGAGGTCAGATAATGAAAATCTGAGCCTATTATGTAACTTATCAGGAAATCATGAATGGGTCACCTGGTAAATATATCTTAACATGTTTCCTATACCAATCATAGGAGAAAATGTACCCGCACTTTCGAAAACGATCTTCAAATGATCCTAATACGGATTTGCATCTCACTCCGGCATCGTTCTGTATGTTTAGGGCAAATAAAGTGACGTACTCAACATTTCCATCCCACCCCATCCCCAGGTTTGAGATTTCGCTGATTTCCACTCAGACGAGATGACTAACGAACGATTCATGTTGTACAAGTGGGTAAAGACCACCTGTTTCGTGGTTGTTCGTATTCCATTCATGTCAAACTTCTGGGCTCTACGTGATGATCGAAAACCCAGCGGGATTGTGCTTGTAAAAGGCCGGAAGTGTTAGGTAGATAGGAACCTGTTGGACAGATCAGAGATGCACAGTGCTTGTTCGTGACACACCGAAGATAACCAAACACCGAGCAGGAACCTGTTCTATGACGTAGCATCACAACTATCGGACAGAGTTTATTGACAGCAATCTGTCAGCGAGTCCTGCCTCCCAATTTGGAGTATCATGTCTTTGATATCGAAAGGTACTACCGAAATCGGATTTGATCGTCTTGGATCAGATAATATCACACCGTTAGCTGTATTTGACCGACACAGCCCCGCACAAAAAACACAGGCGGAAGACAAATGCGAATAAGCTAGTGCATTTCATCCAAAATACCGAACTACGAAGACAAACGAAACCACCAATTACCGGTCACTTACAAACGTGCTGAAGCAATCAGATAAGTAATCTGTTGCACTAAAAATACTACTTACATTCGAACAGCGTCGTTGCGTGCATAATAAACTACGATTGGACCTAACGTCTATCACACACTTTATGGACCGTCATG